CCGGGGCCGTCCCCGAAGACTAGGGAGCCCAAGCGCCTCGACCTCATGGAGTGTAAGGTATATGCCACCAGTGGTGTGCAACTCCGCATCGCGAATCAACAGGCAATGCTTATCTGCTACGCCTACAATACGTGGCAAGGAATGGATAAGTTTAAGGACAAACTTCCCCTCGAGGTGCGTCAGGAGTTTGTGGCTATGACCACCGAGGGCAGAACCATCGCCCGCATGGCACTGAAGGCCTCCCTGGACGCGGTCGACTCTGCAGCCCACGCCATCGCATCAGGGGTAGTTATGCGCCGTGGCGCCTGGCTCCAGGTTTCTGGAATTCCGACCAACGTCTAGCATACCATACAGGACCTACCCTTCGAAGGGAAATCCTTGTTCTCAGAGCAACTAGGCTCCATACGCTGAAGGACACTAGGTTGACTCTCCGCTCTTTGGGGATCCACACACCGGCCTCTCAGCGGCGTCAGCTCCCCTACAGACAGCAGGGGAGAACGCGGTCCTAGGTCCCCCGTGGGGATTACTGGAGACGCCATCCTCGTGCTCCCAGTGAAGGTGCGGGGGCGGCTGCAGCCCCTTTCTCGGCAAGGGCACGTCGTCACTGCCCAAAAGGAGACAACCCCCGTTGGACAGGCCCCCTCTCAGCAGACCAAACACACGTTTTGATGGGTTCTTAGAGAGTTGCGTACCAGTCACTTCCCCTGGCCCCCTGTTTGGGGCCAGGTTATCCTAGTATGCCCCCGCCTGAGCCGAAGTTACCTAAGACGCCTTGGTACTCGGCATAGTCGGGGTGGATACACTATCCCTTTCCTGGGCCCTCCCCCTTCCAACCCACCCTCCCCGTCCCTTTTCAGGGACACCTCTCACGAAGGGATTCTTTGGCAGGAGGAGTTGGCGCTCCTCGAAAAAGGAGCAGTAGAGAGGGTCCCCCACGTTTACAGGGCAAGGGGTTTTATTCCTGCTATTTCATCATCCCCAAGCCCAAGGGTGGGATTCGTCCCATTCTGGACCTCAGGGAACTCAACAAAACGGTGGTGAAGTCAAAATTCAGAATGGTAACCCTGGCATCTGTCACCCCAGGTTTAGAGTTAGGAGACTGGTATGCAACTCTCGACCTCAAAGATGCTTATTTCCACATGGCAATAAGGTTGAGCCACAGGAGGTTTCTGCACTTTATAGTGTCCCACTGTCATTTCCAATTCACAGTGCTTCCGTTTGGTCTTTCAACAGCACCCAGGGTCTTCACAAAATGCATGTCGGTCATGGCGGCATTCTTCTGCAAAAAGGGGGTGCACGTCTTTCCATACCTAGACGACTGGCTTATTTGTGGCCAATCCTACAAACAAGTGAAGGCCAATGTATCCTTTACAAGGGCTCTCTTCATGAGGCTAGGCCTCATGCTGAACGAGGAAAAGTTGTCACTGACGCCATGTCAGCACCTGGAATTTGTGGGGTCTCTCTTGGACGCCAGGGTAGGGCGAGCCTTCTTCCCCAGGAACAGGTTTTTGGCTATAGTGGATCTGGTCTCCAAGTTAACCTGGTTCCCTCTGACTACCGCTCGAGCATGGTTGAGACTGCTGGGGCACATGGCAGCGTGCACATATGTGGTGTGCCATGCTCTGATGAAACTCCGGCCCTTACAGGCCTGGCTAGCAAAAGTGTTTGACCAGTCCAGGGGTCTCTGGGACACAGTGTTGACTGTGCCTTGAGAAGTGATTACCTCCTTACAGTGGTGGACTCAGGAGGGTGTGGTTTGCAGCGGGGTTCCATTCACTGTGGATCCCCCCTCAGTGACGTTAGTCACAGACGCTTCTGACCTAGGCTGGAGAGTGCACCTAGGGCATCACAGGACCCAGGGCTTGTGGTCTCCCGCAGAGCGGTATGCATGTAAACATTTGGGAGCTGAGAGCGGTCAGGAGAACCTGCAAGGTGTTCCTGACAAAACTGTCACGCCTCTCAGTCCTAGTACGTTTGGACAACACGGCGGCTGTTTCTTACATAAACAAACAGGGGGGAGCCCGGTGGTCTCCGCTCTGCCACAAGGCTCTGCAGCTATGGGGTTTTTGTATAAGGCACGGTATCCATTTGCAGGCGGAGCATCTGCCAGGGTGCAAAAACTTGTTGGCCGATGCATTGAGCAGGTCCTTCAGAGCCCATGTATGGACCCTGAAGGATACAGCCCTAGATCAGGTTTTTCTCAGGTGGGGCCCGTCCCCTAGTAGATCTGTTTGACTCGGTGAAGAACAGGAAGTGCCAGAGTTACTGCTCTGTACTGGGGTTGGGGGAGCACTCCAGAGGCGATGCTATGACCATGCCTTGGCCAGCTGGTCTCCTTTACACTTTTCCCCAGTTTCCTCTAATTCCCAGTGTTCTGACCAGGGTCATTCTGATAGCCCCTCGGTGGTCCAGGCAGTTCTGGTTTCCCATCCTGGTGGACATGGTGCGTGCAGAGCTCATGATGCTCCCATTGGATCAGGATCTCCTGACGCAGCCCTGAGATGGGGGGCCATTGGTTCACCCAAATCTCAGCTCTCTCCACCTGATGGCCTGATTTATCCATGGCTGACCCAGCCAGAAAGGGAATGTTCCCAGGAGGTGCAGATGGTTCTCCTAGGTAGCAGGAAGCCATCCACCAGACGGTCTTATGTGGCTACGTGGCAGCATTTTATGCACTGGGCATCCAGACGGGGGATGCACCTGTCCTGTGCACCTGTCCTGTCCATTCTGGACTACTTGTTTGAACTAAGGTCCAGTGGGCTCTCTACCTCCTCCATTAAGGTACATGTGGCCTCACTCTCCGCCTTCCATGTTGGATCAGCGGGAGTCTCTCTGTTCTCTAACCCTGTGGTCAAAAGGTTCCTTAAAGGTTTAGATAAGTTGTTCCCCTCGGTTAGACCCCCCCACTCCAAGCTTGTGACCTTAACCTCGTGCTGTTGAGGGTTGTGTCACCCCCTTTTGAGCCACTGGCCACGTGCTCCTTGAAGCACCTTTCTATGAAGGTTGCTTTCATTGTAGCCGTTACTTCAGCTCACAGGGTTTCTGAGCTGAGGGCACTAACTATTAACCCGCCCTACCTAGTGTTCTTGGAGATTAATGTTAGACTCTGTCCACACCCAGCTTTTCTCCCCAAGGTGGTGTTACTGTTCCATCTGTCCCAAGAAATTTATCTCCCGGTATTCTTTCCAAAGCCCCATGCCTCCCCTCAGGAGCAACTGCTCCATTCCCTGGATGCTAAGTGTGCATTACCATTTTACATTGGTAGGATAAGACCCTTTCGTAAATCCATGCAATTGTTTATTGCTTTTTCTGACAGAATGAAGGGGCTCCCCAACTCGACCCAGAGGTTGTCCAATTGGGTTGCTGAGTGTATCAGGGAGTGTTACAACTTGGCACGAAAAGTCCCGCCCCAGATTACAGCACATTCTACTAGCGCGCATGCATCCTCTGTAGCCTTTGGAGCGCAGGTTCTGATTACGCGCTTTTATGATGCACTATGCGCTGGCACAGCAGGCCAGGGAGGACGCAGGGCTGGGTTCTGCAGTCCTCAGGTCTGTATTGTGACTGTAGGTTTTTTTGTGCTGCATTGCATCTTCTGTCAATTCTCTATTCTGTTAGTTGAATAAATACGTTTTGGGTTGTCCAACTTTCGTTTGCTTGTCTTTCTGAATGCTCCGACCCCTCTTCCGTAAAGTCAGGTTAGCTTGGAAGTCACCTTATTCGAATGGACATGAGCAATCACTCGAAGAAGAAAAGAACGGTTACTTACCTGTAACTGTTGCTCTTCGAGATGTGTTGCTCATGTGCATTCGATTCCTCCCCACCACCCCTTCGTCGGAGTGTCAGGCAAAAAGGGACTGAGGAGGGGGAGCGCCAGCAGGAGTACTTATGCACCACTATAGTGGCGCCACTCCAGGAGCCTACCTACTGGCGCTACGGGTACTGCTTGGGAAAACGCTCCAAAGAGACGGTGCACGTGGTGTGCGCACACTTTATTTGAATGGACATGATCAACACATTTCGAAGAACAACAGTTACAGGTAAGTAACTGTTCTTTTCCACACTCTCACTGGGAATGTAAACAACTAATCGACTATTTGATGAGCAAAAGCTTCTCGGATAGTCAACATGCGAGTTGACTAGTCACTCCCTCCTCCCCCTTGCTGCCTCTATCACAGAGAGAGCAGGGCAGGGAAGAGGAGAAGGTGCTGGAGGGAGCCAGTTTAAAAGTCGATTTCCCTCAACTCCAACTCCGTGGGAGGGTATAGGGGCGCAGTGGTGAGCAACTTTAAAATGTACAAGAGTGGGAATCTTGTACATTTCAAAGAGGAAGCCCCTTGAGGAGCCTGGGGCCAGTGGTGGATTCGGATTTCCCCAGCTAACCTGAGGTTCCATATGGCATGTTCAGTGGAGGCGATTGTGCAGTGTTACTTAAACTTTTCAGACCGAGGAACAATAAACAATTTTTTTTATGAGGAACACAAGCATATTTAAGCCAAAAAAAAAAGGGCTTCCCCCTTTAAGGGCGGCCATTCCCAAGGGAAAAGTTGTTGGGGGAAGGGGAATCCCCAAGGAAAAGTGGTTGAGCAAACCTAAGAAACATAAAAGGACAGGGAAAAGAAGTTAAGCAAAAAAACACCAAACCCAAACAGTTTGTCCTTTTATCAGGAGAGCATGCATTGCCCTTTTAAGGCCGACCCTTTTGAGCTGTTCTCCGTGGCACACTTTCAACTAACTTGTGGCACACCGGTGTGCTGCAGAACACAGTTTAAGAAACACAGGTTAAGAAACGCTGGTCTTGTGCATTTCAAAGAGGAAGTGCAGCAGGAAGCCTGGGGCCAGTGGGATTCCCTGCTGGCTCCAGACTCCACTCAGCCCCAGCAGGGGCTCTTGTACATATCAAAGGCAGGACAGGGTATGGCAGTGACATCACAAAGCCTTTTTCGGCGTCTCTGCTGATTGGTTAAAGGATGTTGAGAGGTAGTGAACTCATAGAGACTCCATGACAACGGCCAGGTTGGACAGGATGCGGGGCTGGGGCAATTTCAGACTCCCGTAGCTTTGCAACCGGGAGTCATCTCGAGGTCTGCTCTTACCTTGAGCGCTCTCAGGCCTCGAACATGAACACAAAGAAGAATCTTATTGGACTTTCCTTCAAATCCAATTCTGAAAAAAGAGACACATTTCTGCGGAGAAGGTAAGAGCCTGTGATAGATTTGGTGCTGATGCTGCCTGACCTATCTAATTCTGAAAAAAGAGACACATCTCCGCGGAGAAGGTAAGAGCCTCTGACAGATTTTGTGCTGAAGCTGCCTGACCTATCCGGTGCTGGCCAAATGAAACACTAAAATTGGAACTATTATTTTCCCACCTAGGCTTTTTGTTCCTTACCACTGGGGACAGTGGAATTTGTGTCTTTTGTTTCCCTTTTCCAATAGCTTCCTGCCCTGCCAGAGTCTCACTGTTGAGTGGATGGGATAGTGATAGGGAGAGGACTCAGGACTTTGTTCTCTTTAAGACCCAGCAAAGGAGCCAGAATGTATCATCTGCTTGGGAATTGTTCTGCTTCTCTACATTGGTTGGGTCTGAGCAGTTCCTGATTCTCTCAGGAGTGGATTGTTACACCCACCTATCTGCCCTATGGCTAAGGAGGTTGAGGATCTGTGTGTGTGTGTGTGTGTGTCACTGCCAGGAGTGTATAATATGAGGTGCCCTATTATCTGGAGTCCTTACAGATGATGTGGTGCAGTAGAGCCCCATTTTTCCAGCCTTCCATTGTGCAGCTTTCCATGTTGACCTAATAACCAGGGCATGCAGGGCCAGCAGCAGGCAATCCTCCCATGGCCACTAGATGGCGCTGTGGCCTCACACTTCCCTACTCTCCTGATTATAGGAATTTTTGATCATCTGGTTTGGTCCTGGTCCCAATTTGACATGACAAGTGGGGCTCTGCTGTGTAAGAGCCAGCAGTGTGGGTAGGGTTGCCATATGGTTTCAACAAGAATACTGCACACACTTGACATTACATCTCAATCTACATTACATCTCATTTAGAAACTACCAGACATTTTATATTTTCTCATCTGTTTCACAAACAGCTCTAATACTGGACTGTCTGGTTCAAAACCGGACCCCTAGCAATCCTCGTAATAGCTGGAGCTGGCAATTTTATTGGTATTGTATTATGTTTAAATCTATTAAGAGGAGCAATTCCTTAGCCCAGGGGCAGGCAAAGTATGGCCCAGCAATCCTTTCAATCTGGCCCAGGGCCATCTGCTGGGATTCTCAGGCAGGGAGCAGCACAAGGGCTCTGAGCATCTGATCCATCTGTGTCTTTGCGCAGAGGGGAGGGTGAATCTTTGCATGCTGCCCCGCAGGCAGGACAATCATTCAGCTCCTGTTGGCTGCTTCCCATTGGCTGCCCTTGCCCTAAGCATGAGCTCACAGCTCACATTACCTGAAACCAGCCAATGGGAGCTGAGATATTGTGCTTGGGGCCTGGGCAATGCATGTAGATCCTCCTTCCCCTCCCCCCACTGTACGCCACAGAAAGGCACGTGGAGCAGCAACTCTGAGCTCCGGGGTTGTGGTGGGCAGGGAATTTGGCACAGGGTTCCATTAGGCAGCTAGCCTGGAACCATCTAGGGAAGTGCCTCCTGGTCAGAGCCTACTCTGGCACCCAACTCCTTGCCTTAGGTCACAATCTCCCCTGTTCCAGGTCACTACCTCTAACCCCTCCCCCTCCTGTTCCTGGGTCACAACTCGATTTACCAAATATTTGTTCTAGTGGAATAAATGTGTTAAATTATAGATTAGAATCAGTACAAAGAAACCTTTACAAATCTTTAAACAAAAGACAGAACTATGTAGCACTTTAAAGACTAACAAGATGGTTTATTAGGTGATGAGCTTTCGTGGGCCAGACCCACTTCCTCAGATCAATATGTGGAAGAAAATCGGCACAACCATATGCCCATCCCTGCTTTAAAGCATCTTTAATTGTATTGGTATTTTGAAAAAATGCGCCCGAGAGGTCAATGTACATGAAGTGGATATATGGAATATACTCAATATACTTAACAATACTTTCATAGAAGTTAAGTAAGGGACAAGCTATGGTTGAAATATTTTTTCCAACTTCAGCTATTAAGGTATAAAAAGACCGTGGATCCTGAAGCTAGAGTAGACAGCCTAGGTCCTAGTTTTTAGGTGGCTGAAAGTTCTTTGTTTCCCTCTTTCTGTTAAGAAAACAGCATGGTGGCTACATTTTTACACGGTCATGTGATCACCCTTTGCAAACAGGCTTGCATAATATTTCTGTGGAGGATTGGCCTGTATTCAACCACTGGCTGTTGTGAATTGTTGTATTATAACAAGAATGCAGCTACTTTTGTGGCCTGCTTGAATAACTTTATTTCTAACTACTTTTCTATCTGCCCTGTGGGAGATCTTATCCATGCTCACTGTGAATGTTAACATGGGTCTCTGCTGCAGACTAGTGTAGTCCTTCATCCTAACCAGTTTTAAATCTCACCTTGATTGCTGTCTTGTCCTAGCTGTTCACCTACTTTTCCTCACTACCCTTAGCACTGGCAACATCCTGTAGAACAGAACCGTAGTCAGTCGCTCATGGTTGGAAATTGTTTTATGTAGATTTCTAAACTTGTCCCATGGTCAAGCAGTGTAAGAAAAAGGATTGACTGGTTTCCCTTCTTAGCCATCCGCTCAGTTGGCTGGATTTGACTCTTGGAATTATTGTGGGAAAGCTAGCTTAATGAATAATATTTTGCTGTGAAAGTAGTGATGTGAGTTATCCCTTCTTTGGGTAAAGAATCTACTTCTCCAAAATCTCATTTTGGTTGTTGCATTGAGCCTTTTTGATATCACAGCTACACAGCACGTGGCAGCTCCCTCTAACATGTTTAATTGGTAGAGGCTAAGATTGAGGAACAAAAGAAAGCAGATCTTGAGAGAGTCTGTAAAAGAGGCTGTTGGTTATGGGTAGAGGGAGGTGTGAATGAGGTGCTGAAAAAGTAACACAATTTTCCAGTTCCATTGACTTTAGAAGAAATGTCTGACTCTCTTCTTCGGTCTCTCTTACATGTAGCTTTAAATGTAGTAGATTCCAAATGTCTTGAACTAATTCTCAAAGTGTTATCAAAGAGGGTGAACTAAAGATAATTGCTAAGTTTTATAAACAGCTCCTGCTAGAGTGAGGAGTGCTTCCAGGAAATGGCAAAAGAGAAAGGTGACTGAAGAGAGTCTGTAAAAGAGGCTGTTGGTTATGGGTAGAGGGAGGTGTGAATGAGGGGCTGAAAAAGTAACACAATTTTCCAGTTCCATTGACTTTAGAAGAAATGTCTGACTCTCTTCTTCGGTCTCTCTTACATGTAGCTTTAAATGTAGTAGATTCCAAATGTCTTGAACTAATTCTCAAAGTGTTATCAAAGAGGGTGAACTAAAGATAATTGCTAAGTTTTATAAACAGCTCCTGCAAGAGTGAGGAGTGCTTCCAGGAAATGGCAAAAGAGAAAGGTGACTGAATAGTCGAGGGAACCATTTCTCTTTTTAAAAACTGAACAATAAAATCAGTGTTCTTTTCATGTATTAGGGCATGTCTACTCTGGGGCGTTATTTCAAAATAACAAGGCGAGCATCCACACTACCAAGCCTGTGGTGAAATAAGCTTATTTCAAAATACCCCCATTATTTCAAAATAGTTACGAGTTATTCTTCCTCACAAACAGGAGAGATTTGGAAATAACTTATTTCTAAATAACCTGGCAGCGTCGACATAGCCACATGGACTAATCACAATCAAAAGATGTCGAGTGTAAATGACTGTTTTAAAATGTAAAAAGCAGTTCCCCTCTGCACCAAGGAGTGCAGTAGAAGAGCAGTAGTATGTGCCCTAGGGGTGTGAAAATACTGGTCGGTGCCAGAGTATTAGCAGCTAAACTATGAGTCTCTCTACCATTTCAGAGCTGTAAATGCTTCAGCCTTGGTCAAACTGCCTATAGTGTTTTGTTTTTGTGAATGTTTCTGGGATTATCTTTTGACATCTCTTGCTCTGTCAGACTTGTCTCTTCTTGGAATACTATTTTAACCCATCCCCTCTTTTTCAGTGGTGTTCCAACTCCAGCACGGGGGACATCGCAGCCCTCCCAGATGGTAGTGTTGCAGCTCTCCAGGGGGAAGTCGCAGCCCTCTCGGATGGTGGCATTGCAGCTCTTCCGGGGTATGTCACAGCCTTCTCAAGTGACGTTGCAAGAGCCCTCCCGGGTGACGACATCGAAGCAGCGCTCCCAGAAGACATCGCAGTTCTCCCGGGTGACAGTGCAAAAGCCCTCTCTGGTGGTTGCATTGCAGCCCACCCGTGTGACAGTGCCGCAGCCCACCCGTGTGACAGTGCCGGAGGCCACGAGTGTGACAGGGCCTCAGCCCTGTCAGGGGATGGCATTACAGCCCTTCCAGGGGGCATTGCAGTTCTCCTGGGTGGTGGTGTCACAGCCCTCCCATGGGACATCGCAGCCTGCCTGTGTAATGGTACCGCAGCTCTCCCTAGGGACATCTCAGCTCGCCCGTGTGGTGGTGCCACTGCCCTCCCGGGGGATGTCACAGCCTTCCCACGTGAGTGCTTCCCTGGCCCCACCACCTGCTCCTCCTGCCCCCACACCCACTCATCCGGCTCAGCCCTACTGCCGTCGCCTCTCGTTGCAGCAGGGCTGTTCTCCCGTACATGAGGGAATCTCAAGCCCGGAGAAAGATCAGTTCCGCCAGCCCCGGGCGAAGCTGGATGCAGAGCTGGCAGGTGAAGCAGAGGGGTCACGCGGCACCACCATGCCCCTAGCACTCATCCAGCCTCTCGCGGCTGCGGCCACTGGCCCCGCCGCCATCTATGAGCAGCCCAAAAAGGAGGTGC